AAGGAAGGAAGGAAGGAAGGAAGGAAGGAAGGAAGGGTCATCCTGTAGTAAGATGGACATCCAATAACTTTGATAAAGAAGGGAGGTCGGGAGGGAGGCAGCCAATAAATCTGATAAAGAAGGAAGGAAGGAAGGAAGGAAGGAAGGAAGGAAGGAAGGAAGGAAGGAAGGAAGGAAGGAAGGAAGGAAGACCTTATCAAGACCAAATCACCCTTTTGATTTGCTTATTCCAGATTAAAATATCTAAAGGTGAAAGGTGGATTTATGCCTGTGTATTGCAGAGTCAATATCTCATACTTTAACATGGCAGGGGGGGGGGGTTGGCAAGAGGGCAGAGAGCAAAAATGCCTTGCATTTTATACGGAGGCAACTACTCAGAGTGATGTGGTGCTTATGTTTCTCTCTCATAACAAATCCCTTTTATGTACCCTAATTCCTAAATCTCTATGAAAGTATTTGCCTTCGTGTTTGTTTTCTCTAGCTAGAACTCCTCACCTCCGCAGTGTGAGAAAAAGTCCAATTTGCAGTTTGCCAAAAGGAAATTGCCTTTTCCTGGCAGAGAGTCAAAAATATGTTGGGTGTCTTTGCAGGACTCAGCCGAGAAGGTGTGGTGCTCCGGAAATGTCTTTCAAAATCTTCTCAGGTCTACTTGGGTTTCCTTTCTGCTCAAGCTATAATTCCGGTAGATCTTTCATTGACTGGTGTCTTCAAAGAGATTCAGTGGGATACAGAGAGCAACTGGTTGATGAAACCTGGTCATGCTATGCTAATTATCTAGGAAGGCCATTGTGGCAACACTCTGTAAGAAAATGGTGGAAAACAGATTGAACTTTATAGAGCACCTAACTTTAATTAACTATAGTTATAATCGTATAGTCAAGGCTATGGTTTTCCCAGTTCAATGTACGACTTTGAAAGTTGGACCATAAGGATGGCTCTGCGCCAAAGAATGGAGGCCTTTGAACTCTGTTGCTGGAGAAGAAGACTCCTGCGAGTCCCTTGGACTGCAAGGCAATCCAACCGGTCAGTCCTAGAGGAGATCAACCCTGACTNATGGCAGTCCAGTCTCTTCCTGAAAGCTTCCAGGGATGAAGCTCCCCCAACTTCCGAAGACAACTCCTGTTCCATGGGTTGATTGTCCTCACTGTCAGAAAATTTCTCCTTATTTCTAGATTGAATCTCTGCTTGATCAGTTTCCATCTATTGTTTCTTGTCTGGCCCTTCGGGTGCTTTGGAAAATAGCTTCACCCCCCTCCTCTCTGGGGCAGCCCCTCAAGTATTGGAAGACTGCTCTCCTGTCCCTGGTCCTTCTCTTCCCTAGACCAGCCATGCCCAGTTCCTGCAACTGTTCATTGTATGTTTTAGTCTCCAGTCCCCTAATCATCCTGGTTGCTCTTCTCTGTACTCTTTCCAGAATCTCAATATCCTTTACAGATTAACAGAGTTGGAAGCGACCTTGTAGGTCATCTAGTCCAACCCCCTGGCCAAGCAGGAGACCCTGCACCATTTCTGACAGATGGCAGTCCAGTCTCTTCTTGAAAGCCTCCAGTGATGAAGCTCCCACAACTTCCGAAAGCAACTTCTGTTCCATGGGTTGATTGTCCTCACATCACACCCGACCCCCTTCCCACCGTAAGGTCCAGTAGATGTTTACCTCACGGCGGCCTTTGGGATGGAGCCATACACCAGTGAGCTGAGGCCTCGGTAAAGGCCTTTGATCCCATGGTCCCTGACTGTCACTCGGACACAGTCCACTGCACGTAAAGAAAAGAAGGAGGAAAAATACCTGTATTAATAAAAAGCAACTCGCTCTGGGGATGCTCTGCGTCAGATACAGATAGAGCCAGGGCTGTCCGGCATTTCCCAGCCACCGGAGAGGCAGCTGCCTTTGGAGGATGAGATAAGTGGGGAGGAAGGACAACGGGGCCTGTTCCAGACGCACATATGCGCAGAGCAGTTAGGAGAGGTGAACAATGGAGGACAAGGAGTTGATTCGGGAAACAAAGCATACGGGGATGCTGAATGGTCCCTCCCTGGCTGGGGAATAAATAGAAGGAAAAGGGAGCGGTAGTCGTAGGAGACAACAGTTCGTCTTTCTGAAGATTTTGCTCATGGTGTTTCATACCACAAAGACTGCTTGCTAGAACTTAATTTGCAACCTTTCGGCTGGGAGCCCAGGCCTTGCAATTATTGCAAGAAACTTGATAAGATTTGTTACTGCCCTTAATTCCTGGCAGGATTATTACCTGGACTTTTGGGTGGGTGAATGCAATTAATACACAAGAGCTAAATAAACAGGGGTTTTTCGTGACAAGGAGTCTATTTCTTGCTTTTGCTAAGGCTGGGTCAGAACACAAAATACAGTTTGGTGGGTAGATGAAAACTCTTGAGCTTCCCACTCTTACCGATGCCTTTATAACGTGGCGGGTTGGCCTTTTCATCCAGCTGCAGCTGGGTTTTCACGTATTCGGTGGGGAATGTGATGCAGATTTCAATACCTCCGGCGATGCCACCTGCAAAGGTAAGTGAGACAAGAATGATGCGTCTGTCCGCGGATACGCAGGAAAAGAAAAATATATTACAGCGAGTTCTTGACCTATGACCACAATCTTGCTCAAAATTTATGCTGTTCGGTGAGGCATTTCTTAAGTGAGTTTTGTTCCATTTTACAACCTATCTCGCCTGAGTGGTTAAGTGAATCGCTGCTGTGGATAAGATAGGAACACCAGTTGTTAAGTGAATCTGGCTTCACCACTGTCTTTGCTCGTCAGAAGGTTGCAAAAGGGGATCATGTGACTCTGGGACATTGCGACCGTCATAAATATGAGCCAGTTGCCAAGCGTCTGAATTTTGATCACTTGAACATTTTTTCCCACCTTGAGCACAAAGCCGAGAAACGGTTTCCAAGCAGAAATAAAAGCGATTTGGCACAAAGTCCAGAAACGGTTTCCAAACAGAAATAAAAGTGATTTGTATTTTTTTTTATTAAACCAGTCAATTTAGCCATCTCTGCTAACTCCCATCAATTTTTGCAGCCTTTCGTCCATTCTCGGAACCATAATGCCCCTCTTGAAGAATTTATTCTCCTTTTAGAAATAAGCCGCTCATTTTCCCAGCTCCTCCTTGTAGGAAAGATACGACTCAAAACTTCCCAAATCAAACCTGTCTTGCAAGTTAAATTCTGCCAGGAAACATGTTAAGGCAACTTTTCCCCAAATCCTTAACTTTTCCCCAAATCCTTAACGTCTCAATCCAATACAACCCAAGTCTCAGCTTGTTGGAACAATACAGGATGTAAAACGACAAAATCACATTACAGATTTATTGTGGATTTCACAGCATCGACAATGATTTTGCTACACGGCAGTTCCAACAGCTCATTTTAAAACTCAGAAAAATCTTTGCACTCCGAGGTAGCCCAACATTTAAACTTCTTTTCTATAGCAATGCCAGAGGCAGATTGAGACAGCCAACTACATTATCCTTAAAGGTGCAAAGTTTGCAAATCTCATCTTGGAATCACAGGTAGCTAAAACTTCTGCAGATGGAAAGGAACTCATTTGCGTTCTTAAACAAAGCTTTCAACCACTCCCGAACCTCAACAAAAAGTTATATTTAAAATAAAGAAGAACTGTATTCAATCCCATCCGTTCTTTTAACCCACGCCTTTTGCTTCAGACATACCCTAAAAATAAGCCGAAATGAACATTAGTGGGAGCACAGGCTGTTGCATGCTGAATTTCCCCGAGAACTGGAAGATTTCGTGAAAATGCCAAACTTTAGTCTGTGGGAAGAAACTGTCCTTCCTACGACCTGTATTACAGCCGTCTTACAGAACATAACTAGATCCTGATTGGTACAGAAAATGCATTGGTTGAGGCCACACTTGTAATACTGTGTCCAGTTCTGTTCACCGTGATGCAGAAAAAGATAATGAGACTCCAGAAAGAGTGCAGAGAAGAGCAACAAAGATGAATATGGGTCTGGAGGCGAAAACATACAATGAACAATGGAGAGAACCAGGTATGTCTAGTCTAATGAAGAGAAGGATTAGGGGTGATATGAAGTAGTTTTCCAATATCTGATGCAAGCTCTTCTTCAAAGCACCTGAAGGCAGGACAAGAAGCAATGGATGGAAACTAATCAAGGAGAGAAGCAAGCTAGAACTAAGGAGAAATTTCCTATCAGTGACAATTAATCCGTGGAACAACTTGCCTTCAGAAGTTGTGGGTGCTTCATCGACTGGCGACTACACGGAGGAGAGCCTTTTCTGTCGCAGCTCCGACCCTGTGGAATGATCTCCCCGTCGAGATA